CCCCACACACCTCTTCGTCGGCCGCGGTGGTGGGGATGATGACAGCGGCGACTGGGCACAGGGAGGCGTCGTGGGTGCTGACGGGTAGCATCGCACACGCCTTCGCTACGTGGCGCAGGACATCGGGGGCCGGACACGCAACACACCCGGACTCAATGGCCCTCAGATGCTCCAATACCAGCACAACGCGCCGCTTCAGCAGAAGCAGGGACCGCTTCACGCGCTGAGGGTGTGACGACACAGTCCCACCCTCGTGGCCACCGCTCCGGTTGCCTGGGCCGATGGTGCTCATGGCTGCGCCAATTCCTATTTGCGCCATGTCGTCAGACCCCGTGAGAAACCGCACATTTCTTAGGCACACCGTCGTACGCGGTGCGCCTTCGTTGTGGCAAAGAATCCGGCTGCCGTGGGCGGCGGTGCAGGGCGATATTTCGGAGTTATAATTATGACTGCGGTGCCGTTGAATGGCCTCCTGCCCCCGTTGTTCCTCCCCAGCCGTGTGTCGGACGCCGTCGCGCGAGGTGGTTGCCTCGAATAGATGCACCGGGAGGGTGGCGAGTGACGCCGGCGGGGCGCGGTCCACCATCAGCGCCAGCATCACACCGTTCGGCACGTCACCAAAGACGTCCAAAAGAGGAACGTGCATGATGCTGCTGCATTGCACCGCGTCCTCTCTCGTTCTTCCTACACCGTACCAGCCAACAACGACGAGCTCAGCAAATACTTCCGCGAGGCGTTCCTTCTTGCGTCTGACCGCCCGCCAGTTCACACTTCGCGCCGCGGTGTTACCCGTCTCGTAGCCGACGACCTCAAAAGACACAGATTCCTGTTCCGCCGTCGACCGTCGGGCGGCCAGAGGGACGCCGGGGCGGTCGCGGCCGCAGGCATACCGGCAGTGACGGCACCACAGCCCGCTGCCACACCGGCCAACGACCCGCTGCCGCCACAACTGCAGGTCAGCAGCCCGCTGGTCGTGCGCCCCACGCTGCTGGCATCCTTACTGCTTCGGTGGCCTTGTTCTACGGACAGTGACGTGCTGGGGGAAAGTGGAGAGGTGTGCGCGGGCAGCAGTCGCCACTGGCAGCAGAGCTCAGCAGCACAGAGAAAAAGAAGCACCAACGCAATCAGCAAACAAAATCCGTCGACGGGTGTGGGTGTCAAAACAATCAAACAAATTCGTAAGAAGTAACATTTTTATTTGCCCACCACCGTCGCAGTGCCATGCGCAGAGTGTGTGCAGGCTGGACAGTGGCCGGTCAATATATTGTTGTACAACAAGAATGGGGCAACGGGGCACTGCCCCCAAAACAAGGCTGGGGAATGGGGAGAAAATGCACCCATAATACAATAATAAAGCACAAAGTCACTCATTAATCATCACCTTACAGTGAAATGGACAAAAAAGAAGTAGTCACACCGTCGTTCGATTTCTCCCGCCGACGTCCATAGCAGTTCAGTGCACGGGGAGAGAAAAACACAGGGAGTACAACATGTAGCTCTGGCCGTGCACTGCAACTGAACTGATGCCGGAAAATAATAAAACACACGTGAAAGGAAAAAAAACAAAAAACGAAAAAACAAAAGAACAAACAAACAAAAAAAGGCAGAGGGGATGCTATTAGAGCATGATGAGGGACATGCGGCCCCAAGTGCGACCAGGCGAAAAGCAGCTCGCATCGTCAACGGCATCCGGGTCGCGGACGGAGGGCGGGGGCGTGTGCGCCCTCACTTCAGCACGGGCTCTTGAGCACTCAATGACTCCCTGCTTCCCTCAACCTTACAGTCGCCGGGTGGCTCCTGTGGCCGGACGACACGACCATCCACGTCAATGTTGTCGCAGATACGTGCGGCCGGGATCAGCAGAAACACCAGCGGGATGCACACGAGCGGACAGAGGAGGCGCCCCACAATCAAGAGCCACCTGACGTTGCTGAAGTCGCAGCCGACAGCGGGATCCGTCTCGACGGGCCACTTAAATTCCATCAACAGCGAGCCGACGGTGTTCGAAACGGCCTGCCCAAAGTTCGAAAACCCTGCTAGCAACGCGTACACCATGCTCTCCGTCCCACGCGGACACAGCCGGGAAAGTAGGATGATGTTCGGCATGAAGTGCAGCATGTAACACACCCGATAGACGACCTGGTCACCAAGCACATACACCACGTGATCGCTGACACGCGGACGGTTCCACCGCTCCACAATGATGAGGTCAAAGATGCTGGCCACAACCATCACAAGCGTGGTGACGACAAATGTGATGCGGTAGCTCTTCTTCGAGAACACGTACCTGAACAGCAGAATACCGACAATGCCACCAATGTTTCCAATGATGCTTGCGACCGTGTTGTAGAAGAAGAACGAGAAGTGCGGTCCGTCGGGCAGGCAATCAGGCCTGGCCATGTAGAAGCTGTCCAGGGCACCGGGGAGCTGAATGTACGACGCCATGCTGAGGAACAAATACAAATTCGCCTTGGCGATCACCAACGGGAGTGCAAAGAAGCCGAAGACGCAAACAGCAACGGAAACGGCAATGCAGGCGTACAGCAGGCTCCAGATGTCGCCAAGAACAGTGACAATGGCCATGACAACCGAGCCCGCTGCCACAAGGAGGCAGTAGAGAACTATCCTCCAGCTGCGTCGCGCCACCTCCTTGTTCACCTCAAAGACACCGCAGCAGCAGGTCGGCAGAGGCGGTACCTCGTCCTCCTCCTCTCCAGACACACCCGCGCACACCTCGTCTGAGAGAACCAGCATGGAGTGGTTGCCCATCTCCGCGACCGCCGTGTCGTCGTCTTCTCGCAGCCTTTTACTGGAATCCCTCCTTTCCTCCAGCAGTTTCGCGCGCATGAATTTGGCATCCTCGGCACGATTTACACGGTTCTTGTTCTCCCCGTACCAGTTCATCACGAAGAAGAACGTCGTCACAAACTGCAGCGTGGCGGCAACGATCACGCCGATCCACTCCAGACTGGCGTCGGCGAGGGGCCCGGCAATGACGGAGGCGACAAGGGAGCCCAGGAGCACCCACCACCACACCCAACTCACCAGCGACGAGCCAGCGAGAGGAATGCGGCGTATCAGGCGGCTGTAGTGGCCCTGCGTCAGGATGTCCACGTTTGCCTTGGTGAAGCTGGTCAGGAAGACAAACGCCGCTGCCGGCGCCGCGCTGGCTTTCGCGGGTGGCAGTAGCGCGAAGGCAAGCGCAAAGGCGGCACCGACCACGCACGAGACGGCCAGGTACCAGCGCTTCGTGTACCCAAAGAAGCTGAAGATGTCGCTGAACATGGCGGTGATCGGCTTCATCGACCAGCCCATAAATGCCAAATTGGCCATGCGCTGGTAAGTCATGGCGTCAACACCGTAGCGTCGCCTGAACATGGGGAACAATGAGAAACGGATGAGGTAGTCGGCGAGTCCCTTGCAGAGAAACTCTGACAATCCCATGGACAGCACGCACTTTGGTCCGAAGGCCTCCACGCTGGTGCCAAAAATAGGTGCACGGCGCAGGCACGGCAGAGCGCTGAATAGCGCCCTCGCATCGACGTGCACGGAACGCGCCGGCACCGTTTCCTCCGCCGACATAATACGAGGGGGAGCGCTGTCGTCTGTTGCCATCACGGGACTCACGCTGGCGAATCTGGCTTGCTAGCCTATCAGGGAGTGTTTGCTGGAAGAGGCAAGGGAGGAGGCAAAAGGAAAAAGAAAGAGAGAAAGCGATGTACCGACAGTGAGGGTGTTGCAGCTGTTTCGACGGGCCCACCAGGGCCTCACTCCTCTCCGCCGTAGCACGCTTCACGGGCACGGGCACGCCCAACGCCGCACTGTCCTTGTCGACGGAAATGACGGGTCGCGTCAGCATTGCCGTCGGCCACTCACGCCAATTTCTGTCGGCCCCGCGCAGCCGGGGAGCCTTCCCACCGCGGGACCTTCCTCCTGAGCTCTGACGAGCTCGCACAAGGCCAGTGCGCATTTTGTCTCAAGCGAGAGAAGTGTGATGGCCAACGCTCCACACACCTCTTCGTCGGCCGCGGTGGTGGGGATGATGACAGCGGCGACTGGGCACAGGGAGGCGTCGTGGGTGCTGACAGGTAGCATCGCACACGCCTTCGCTACGTGGCGCAGGACATCGGGGGCCGGACACGCAACACACCCGGACTCAATGGCCCTCAGATGCTCCAATACCAGCACAACGCGCCGCTTCAGCAGAAGCAGGGACCGCTTCACGCGCTGAGGGTGTGACGACACAGTCCCACCCTCGTGGCCACCGCTCCGGTTGCCTGGGCCGATGGTGCTCATGGCTGCGCCAATTCCTATTTGCGCCATGTCGTCAGACCCCGTGAGAAACCGCACATTTCTTAGGCACACCGTCGTACGCGGTGCGCCTTCGTTGTGGCAAAGAATCCGGCTGCCGTGGGCGGCGGTGCAGGGCGATATTTCGGAGTTATAATTATGACTGCGGTGCCGTTGAATGGCCTCCTGCCCCCGTTGTTCCTCCCCAGCCGTGTGTCGGACGCCGTCGCGCGAGGTGGTTGCCTCGAATAGATGCACCGGGAGGGTGGCGAGTGACGCCGGCGGGGCGCGGTCCACCATCAGCGCCAGCATCACACCGTTCGGCACGTCACCAAAGACGTCCAAAAGAGGAACGTGCATGATGCTGCTGCATTGCACCGCGTCCTCTCTCGTTCTTCCTACACCGTACCAGCCAACAACGACGAGCTCAGCAAATACTTCCGCGAGGCGTTCCTTCTTGCTTCTGACCGCCCGCCAGTCCACACTCCGCGCCGCGGTGTTACCCGTCTCGTAGCCGACGACCTCAAAAGACGACATAATTTCTGTTCCGCCGTCGACCGTCGGGCGGCCAAGGAGAACGCCGAGTGCAGTTGCTGTTGTGCTTGTCGCTGAGTGTTGCCACACTCTTGTTGCGTGTTGCGTTATGTTTAGTATGACCAATGGCTGGAGGCGTATCGGCATTGATGGTTCTTCCTTCGTCATGTGCATTAAAAGTGATAGTTGTTCATTATTGGTGGATATACACGACATCTGTCGGTATTTCTTGTTTTTTATTTATTTATTATTATTATTTTTTTGTGTTTGTCGCGTTATTTGTGTTGTGTAATTTTGGAAAGAAGGGAAATAATTGTAAGTGACACGCACACAGACATTTATAATATGTACAACTGTAGAGAATATATGTTGTTTGTCGTAATTTTGATTTTTCCTTTTCTTTTTACTGATATTTTTGAATAAGGTGACTAAAAGCCAAATAACAGTGTTGCATTCACACAAGGACGGTTGTTGCGACAAACTCTACAATGAGTTGCTCTAGCCATGTAGTATTTTCAATGATAAAAACCGTTTCCACATCGTTTTTCATCCCCCTCTTTTTTTTTTTAGTGCTGGTGATTGGTGGGACAAAGCATGAGTCATTTACTTTCATTGTTGAAGTTAACTTTACATTTCGTCTCCTAAGCGGAACCCATTGAGGTAACCAATGCCGTGTCTTTGACGTTCTGCAATCCTCATCACCATCTAACGATTTGTTATGGTGCATTGCTTTTTCTCGCTCCTGTAAGGTGAGCCGCGGCAGCTTGTACAAGGTGGATATTCCCTCCAAAAACACGCCATATCCACCGCGACGCGTCAGGACGGTAAAAACATACGGATTGCTTGCAAGTTCTCGCATTGGGAGTGTGCTGAGAGGCGCCATTTCATCATCATTCGCGTGTACAAATAATGTTGGCACGTGAATGAGAGAGACAAGGTGGGCGCTGCTGGCGGAGCGGTATAAAAGCACCTCCAGTGCCGAGTTCTGTGAGGGCACCGGACGGGCATTTAACTCGTACCTCATCCTCTTCGGTGCCACAAATTTCCTCGGTGTGTCGCCGAGGTTCTGACTGAGAGGAGAAAGGAGGTGTGCGGACAATAAGAGGTCCGGCCCACCGCGCGCCATTTCAAAAGGCGGTGTCGCACGACGAGCAGGTGCGTGGGACGGCGGAATGATCTCCTCACCACAAACATTTTCATCATCGTTTCCAGCCGTCGTTTTCGCTGGTTCTGCCCGGTCGTCATTCTTAGGATGGCTGGCCTCGACAACTTCTGCATTTAGGGTGTCGTTTGAGGTGACGTGCGGTGAAGATGGCAGCGTGTGGCGCCCCGAGAACCCAATGCCCGTGCGTGTGGCTGCCGACACGTTCTGTTGGTTCTTTAGCAACTTGTCCCAGTCCAACAAACCCATTGGCGAATGCCACCCACCACTTGACAAGAAGGGTGCAGCGCGGTCGCCCCGCGAAGACAGGCTCCTGCCACGCGTGCTTTCATCATCGTCATCATTACCCGCCTGCACATCATCGATCCACCAGCTGTTCATTTCTTCATCCACTTGCGCCTCTACTTGAAGCAAAAAGTCCAACGGTGATTCTGCTGATGACAAAAGTGACCGCGAGGAAAGGTGGCACGTGGAGGACAGGGCAGGGTAAAAGGTTGCATCTTTCGCAGTTCGAGATTCATGATCTCCAGACGCACAGTTGCCTACAGTTCGACGCAAATAATCCCAAATGGCGGCATCATTTTCAGCACACAAGACATCTCCCTTCTTTATCTTCTGGCACCGCCGTTGTCGCTTTTTTTGCAGTTCAAGGAGACGATCCGCCGTGAGATGTAGCCGTGCTGCAAGCAACAAAAGACGTGTGGCACCAGCCGGTGCCAAGAGAAATGTGCTGTGAAATGGTGTTTTGTGGCTCCTTGCACTCCATTGTCTATCCCGCCCCAAAGCCCTCAGTTTTCTTTGACTGTTCGAGACCGTTTCTGGGACAAGCGCATAGTTGGAAGAGGCAGTTTGATTGATGCAAATGATTCCGTCGATACGCGACTGTGCGCCATACAACATCACGTATTGCAACAGCGGACTGCTGGCGTTTGACCAGCCCACACCGACAATGTAGAGATTTCGAGGGCCAGCCTTTCCGTCGCTTTGCAGATAAGAGCCGGATCGACTCATGGACGGCATTGAAGCAACCGAAGCCAGTACCACGTCTCGGTGTACTTCCATCGTCGCATCATTCGTGTCGCGGGAACTGTATGCGGAGGGAGCTCGCCGTCTTTCTAGATGGGAGAGAATCTGACCAATGTCCTCTACTGTCACGTTCATCCTCTCACGACACAAAGATGACGCAGGCAATGGCGCCTGCTCCGACGACTGACCGCTTGGCCAGCTAATCATCTCAACTACAGGAATGGCCGCATGCCAAGAAGCAAAGTGAGGGTCCGTAGCGTCGGTCATTGTTGTTGTTTTTAAGCCGTCGGGTGGACCAATTCCAAGTTGCGTTTGGTGTGAATACCGACGCCTGCAGTTGCAACTGTTTTGACTGTTCTGACGACGCAATTTAGATATATTTGTGAGGGCCTCGCAGAGGGCGCCCATGCGTCGTGCCATGAATCCATGCTCATTCCCCTGTGTGACGGAGGGGCACAAGAGAAGAACAATCACGGATGTGGCAGAATCGGATGCATCGGGAGGAGCCGATCCACGAAGCCAATGCACACTAGTTATACGAGCTCCGGACGCGGATCCAGCGGTGGCTACGTGAGTTGTGTCATGTTCTTCCGTTTTCGCTTCCCTCTGAGACTTCCCTGAAACTGCCCGTTTGGACTTAGTAGAACTGCGGGCAGGATGGCATGGGGACTCCTCCGCCACGTCACTCCGCGACACGCCCTCGAGTTTTTTTCCTGTTGGAGCGGTCTTGATGGTGCGATGTTTCAGGAAAAGCTGCGCTGACGTCAAAGTGGGCACGTGCCCGCGTGCCGGGGGCGCTTCATCAATTGTCTCCTGCCTTGTCGTGTGGGACCGCGCCCACAATGCCCTGGCTGCCTGCTCGGGTATGAAGCAAACCTCCTCTGATGGATCGGGAATTTTTCTTCGGGTGGGTTGAAATTCAGTAAACATGCACGAAAATGTCTGAGAGGCAGATGCTGACATCCGACGGGGTCTTTTCTCAAGCCCTCCATGACGACGACGAACGTGCGTCTCAGTCTGTTGAGTGGAACTCTGGGAATGTTGTGACTCGCTCCCCGATTCCTTTTCTGCGTGCGGGACAAAAAACAGCCCCGTGATGATGCGCCAGAGTGGATCGATAAGAGAAAGAATCAACTGTGCCTTGGCATGCACCGCGTACCAGGGGGGGATAAACCCTTTTCGCTCCCGTAGCCCCCTTGAATACATGCGGTACGGAACATGGATGGACTCCGCCTCATTGCTGTCGCCAGAAAAACAGCAGAACAATTTGTCGCCATTTCTCCCGCGCAAATGCATCTCCTGCTGATAGTAACGTCTCATACATGAAGTGTGGTGTCGTTTCTCCTGTGCATCCCCCTCCACAGATGCATTCTGCAGAAGGGAGTAGTGTAGAAACGGGGTGCCGCTTGTGAAGACACCATGTAAAATGTGGTCGTCGCCCACTGTTGACATCGCCGCCGCCATGGCTGCCCTGCCGCAACTCAGTCTTTGAGTCCCCATAAAAATGGCAGATGTGCTCCGAAGCCACCTCGAGAGAGTGTCCATCATCGCCGCCGCAGATGTGTCATTACGACTATGCTCCGTCCACACATCACTGCCATTACCATCCCCATCCAGCAGCGTGTGGCGTGGGCTCGTTGTGGAGGAAATGCTAAACGAGTTCAGATCTTCATTCATAACCGCCTCGTGTTCGTCTTCTGAGGAGGTAATGTTCACGGAGTTGCCCCGATACCGCGTCGCCGAAAGGACTCGCTTCGCACTCTCCGGGCAATTCAGACACCCGATGCGGTTCACGACGTTCAGACTGGACGCGGGGACAAAACACACCACCGCCTCCGCCCGCACCCCCCAAAAGGGACTACTGCGGTCATGGCGCTCGATGAACAAGTAGCGCGGCAGAAACAAAAGAACCTCAATGAAAAAGCGAAGCAGGCCGATCATAACCAGCCATAATCCCCTGATCATTGCCTTGAATCACCTTGTTGGATCGTTTGCTTTACTCTTTCAACCCGCCTCACCCTTTTTTTCCTTTTTTGCTTTTTTTGCCCCTTCTTCCCCTCAACTTCTTCCCACCACCAGCGTCGCAGGAGAATGAAGACAGCATGGGTAGCAAGAAGCCACCACATTGACACAGATACATGTGTCTCTGTGTAATTTGTAGAGGTAAAATAGATGCTCATACATGCATCCATATGTATACATGCAGACAGAGAATCATATGTATTCACTGAGCAAACGCACATAGATGGTGGAGAAAACAAAAACAACAAAAACAAAAAAAAAGAAGATAAAAATAACCGAGAGGTTGGAATCATTGCAACAAATCAAAGTCAACACGCACACCCACACCCACCCACACGGTTGAGAAGCCACATAAAATTCCATTCATGTTACGTCTGCTGTTCTCTTCTTTTTTTTTTTTTTTTTTTTCTTTTTTGGGGTCTTTTCCTTTCATTTAGTTTCCATTGATGTTCTTCTTCTTTTTGTTGTTCTTGTTTGCCTTCTCCTCTCTTATTTTTCTTTCCCCACCTCCTTCAAAGCACTACTCACAACTCTTCTCATACCTGCAGCCGCCTTGTCCACCCCCCTTCTATTCGTTTTTTTTTCTGATACTACCACCACCCCCTCCCATGACGCCACCGCGTGTTGCCGTGTCTCCTCTCCCCCATGCTGCTCCCTCATCGTGTTTGTCATTTGCGTGTTTGAGCGCGGAAAAATACCATAAAAGCGTTTCGTCCTGCTGCGGCGCTATGAGATGAAAGACAGTCCAACGGAGGGGGGAAGCCACCACCACCGCCACACAGACACGGAGACAGGAAAATGGAGAAAGAACGACGTATATATTATATACATATATGTATGTATCAATACATATGTGTGTGTGTATGTGGGAAGGAGGGATTTAGTAGTTGTGAGCGGGGCACAAAAACAAAAGAACAAAACAGAAAAAAAAAAAAAAAACTGAGAAAGAAAATTTAACGGTGGTTCTTAACGCCCTCCATTGTTGTTGTTGTTGTTGTTGCTATTCATACCATTGCCATCTTTAACGATAGAGACAACGGCTTGCTTCAGAGATTCCACAAACTTCATGATGGAAGCCTCATCGGTGTATATCACGTCTGAACGGTCACTCGCTGCGACGGCACCACCAGCAGCGCCATTATGATGTGTTGTTGTCGGGTTCATGCGCGTTTTGATGTGCCGCGCTTCAGAGCCATTTGCGTCCGTGCGAGAAAAGCGTGGGTACGGATACCGCGTACTCAGCACACCCAGCGCATCGTTCTCTACAGACTCCAGCAATTGTGCAAAGTACGCGTACTCGGGCTCGTCCTGGTACTTGGCTTGTATCCATGCAAAGATGGTTGTGCCCCACATGATGTGAATGTTGAAGTACGCGTCCATGAGGAGAATATTGTCGGGGCGTAGACTGCAACTGTCAAGTGGCACCGGCGTTGCTATTGGCGTCTCAATGTCATACGAGTACAGGGCTGGCTGAATCATGAGGACACAATTGTCGACCGTTTCCCGCATAAGCCAGTGCCGCTTAAACGTCGTCTCATCAGGGGAGATGTTGAGTACCATGAAGTACTCCGATCGGCGTAGGTTAAACAAAAATGACGGGAAAAGCGAGAGACACGCGTGAAGCCGCAGCGACTCCGGTACGCCAGGAGTGAAGGTGCCGTAACGACGCACAAAACGTACAAGTACGGTGTCAATCCACCGCTTTGTGTCGTCCCACTTGCTTGGGTGTTTCTCGAGAATGCCCACCACCATGCGGGCCAGCAAGGTAGCCGCACACGTCTGGTCAAATGCCTGATGGCGCACAAAGTACTGCGGGTCGACGACGGGCGAGGACGGTGCAATGGGCAGTACAACACTCGTCACACGCACCCGCGACTCCCCGTGTGGGGTGTTGAAACGCACAACAAATTGAATAAAACGTCGTTTGGCCTCATTGCTGTGCGGATCTTTTGACCCGGTGGTACCGCTGCTACTTTTTTTGCCCAATGTGGCGGTGTCAAAAATAAACGTGTACGTGACGGCCTGATCCATCGTGCTAACACACCAGTTTGTTGTGCCCCCTACACCGATTTGAATGGGGGATGAAACACGGTTCGGATTCGCCTTGTTCGCCTTCTCATCCACAAGACACGGCCCCAACACGCCGCACACTAACGTGTCCACGGATGTATGCACCCCAAACTTTACACCGAACGCACTACGTACAGAGAAGGCGGCACATTGCGACTCTCCGCCCGGTGTCTCTGGCCCACGTATGCGTGGGTCGTAACGGTCAAAGTACCGTTGAAACGACTTTAAAAACATCTCGTGATTAAACGTGTCGCCACATATAAACGTGCCCCCAGTTTGGTTCACTGCCTCTCGCATTTCCAAAATGCCTGTCTGATCAAAGCTCTCGGCAAACACGTCAAGGCTTGCATGCACATTGGACAGACGCTGCTGCAGGCCGTTGTACATGTTATAGGCGTCAACGTAATATGGTGTTTCCCCATCAATAATGTCTCGGTGAAACCGCATCATTTTTTCCTTCTCAGTGCACACAACGGTTCCTGGACCGCGTGTGCACGGGCCACCTGTGAAGAGCAGCACTCGGCCCGCCTTTAAAACAGGTGTCGACACTGTAGCAGCAGCACCTGCTGCTCGTGATTCTTTCACACTGAGCTTCTCGTACAGTGTCTCTAGTAACCGTACTGCAACACTAACAGCTGTTCCGGTGGTTCGAAGTGGTCGCTTGTTGCCAGGCGTCACAGTATCGTCGCATTGCAGCTCCCCGATTAAGTTTGTCAGTAGAAACTCACAGTCTTCAAGAGGCGACAAGAATCGGCCCTTGGCCGGCATCGTATCCGTTACCTGCAGCATGGCTGAGAGTTCAGCAGGGTCGTACTCCTTGTCGCCTCGAAAGCTGTAGCAGCGTGTCACCGCCGTATTTCCTAGTTCCCATACCGTGACGCGGGCTCCAAACGAGATGAGCCCCACGAGGGACTGTGGAGGGAGCCAGTTGAAGCAACGCAGAATGTTTTGTTTAAGCGTCTCAAGTTCCTCCACTGGGATACAGACGTCAATGATAAAAATAAATGTTGGATACGTGTGCTTTTTGGCTGGGGTCAAAGCCTCTCCTCCTGCCGTCGTGGACGCCTGGGTGGGAATAATGTACTCCACCGTCTCATAGTGCAGCGCTGGATGCTCAATGCTGTAGTTGGGCGGCGTTGGGTTGCGGCGTAGACACGCAAGACACACCCAGAATTTTCCTTCCTCACGGTAGCAGTGTTTATTCCAAAAGGCACCGCAATTCGAGCACTGTTGGCCACGCGCAGCGGGGTCACCAATAATAAAATGACTTGTCTCAAGCGGTTTCAAAGGTGTATACATGCACGCAAGCGGAATAATCATCTCAGGTAGTGTGATGGACCCCATGGAGATGGAATCTTGTTTGGAATCGCGGTACGTGTTCGGGTAGGTGCTCCATGTCCAACGCAGCCCGTTATCATCGGTAGCATTTGTTGCAGCACACGGCTGCTCACTCCCAAGATTCAAGCTAGAATCAGCGGCCTCGGCAGCCGTATTCGTGTACGCCGTGGTCGACGCCGCGTAAGGGTTGAGTGAAGCCGAATGGGCATCCGCAGTTTTATTCATAGTTGGGGCGTACTGCTGCTGAGCGTACGAATACGACTGCTGCCATTGCTCAGGTCCTCCTCCACGGTAGCCATCATACGCCTGTTGTTGCTGATACTGCTGCATGTATTGATTACCATAGCCACTATTCATGACGCTGGACGCCATGCCACCCTGTGACGCGTCAATGTTAGCTGGGTTATAGTACGACCCGTAATCCCTATTGCCCACGTTTGTTGAGTATGCATACTGTTGTTGTTGTTGTTGTTCTTGTTGTTGTTTCTGTAACGTGGCCGCATCGTAGCCACCATAAGACTGTTGTTGCTGCGGCAGTTGCGGATACCCTTGCATGCGATAATGCTAGAGCCCTGCGAGCCTTTTCCTCGAGCAAACAAATTGTCCAATTTTTTACTAACAATGGTACCAATGCACCGCCAACGACTGCTTCCTTACTGTCGTGTTGACCCACGCAAAACTAAAGGTACGGTGGCGGGTGGGAGCGGAGGGAAGAAGAAGACGCAACCAAATAAAATGTTAACAAAGAAACAAAAACAACAAGAAAAAAAAAATGAAATGCCCAGAAAACACACAAAAAAGGAAAATAACTCCTAACGCTCTAAATCATATCCCCCAGTTTTTTTTTTTCTCTCTCTCTCTCTCTCTCTCTGTCTATGCGTGCGCGTGTATGGCTGCCATGGTTTCACGTGGTATTCGTGAGTCTCGCCAACGCGACACGCTCCAAATCATTGTTTATGTCAAAGAGGTCGGTAATCCTATAATGCTGGTAACACACTGTGGCACGCCGCAATAACTCCTCGAGTCCTTGCCGTTGGGCCCGCAATTCGGCCAGCTGCTCGCACTGTCGTTCAAGATCGTTGCCGGTGTTCTCCGAACGGTCCCGCGACATGGTAGACGAGTAATGAAACGTTGACAACGACGCGGACGGTGACGATACGAGGTGCTTTGCGGCGGCCGTGGTGACAGACCGCCAAAGCTCCTTGAATGATGCAATATCTTTCTCCAGTCGGCTTATTTCCTCCTGCGCCTCCGCAGCATATCTTTTCTTTGCGTCTCGCTTTGCCTCTAGTTTGACGTCAAGTAGACGCAGCTCATTTAGCAGCCTCTGTATACGACCATCGTTCGATTCGGCTTCACGCTGCAGCTGCCGGAGCTCCTCAACAAGGGACATAAACCTGTGGACATGTGTGGTACGTGATGTGTACATGGAAGAAAGGAAAAAGAAAAGTAAAAGTCATTTCTTCATCGAAGGGACAGCCCTCTCGTCTGCTACAACTCAGAAGGCACGAACCACACAGATGCGCATAAAACCCTCCTTTCTTTTCCCTCTTTCCCTCTTTCCGTTTGTTTTTTTTTGTGTGTCCACGTCGTTCCCAATGCTTCTGACGCCCAACACGAACGGCAAAAATAAAATAACGAACGGGAGGCTTTGTGAAGGCCTGAAGTCAAAAGCAGCGGACAATCGCTGCCTTCGTTTGGTACAAGAGGGGAGAACGACACTCTTCCCGGCGGGGAAGAGTCCTCGGACCACCGCAGCACCAAAAACGCAAACACACACGAAAAAAACGAGCAAGAACAATTCTACTGGCAAGATCCTTCCCGTTCCTACCCATGCGCACCGTTTTTCTGCCTCTCCATTAACATCCATCTATATCAACTCCACGGCTCTACCAAAATTCCTTTTTTGTACCCTCGTCCTGCATTGCGCCCTTCTCCACTGGTGACTCCACTTCCTTCTCCCCTCTCTCTTTCTATAAAATGTATGTAAAGATAAAATTATTGTGCATTTTCACATGTATATCCCAAACATTTCTAAGTGAAAGGCTCTTCCGCTCCTTCTCTCTCCCTTTCCCTCTCTCTCTCTCTTTCGCATCCTCGCATCTCATTCAATCCGTGTAGCAAAGTGGAGGAGGTCGTCACCGGAGGCAATGACAACAACGCCCTGATCATACGACCGCCCATCACGTGCCGGGCGCACCACCTCACCCCCACCGTATTCAATCACCTGCTCTAGCTTTTCCTTCACAATACCCTCCGGCATAGTAAGAAGAAAGCGTTGGCACTTAAGCGGGGGCGGGAAACAACGCAGCCCGCCTTCTTCGTACTCGTCCAACCAAAAGCCAGCATCGCGAGAGGCATAAACATACTCCGGCTGCACAAGCCACTTTGACCCCACCACACCGCAGAGAGCCTTCATGCTGCGTGGCGGTCCGCGTACAACAATATGCGTCGCAGTAAATGGTGGTGGATCTTCGTAGTCGCTCTCCAGAACAACGCCATGCTGGCCAATTGCTGCAACCGCTGCTTTGACACGTGCACGCTCTTCCTCCGTGAGACTCGTCACAACAAAGCAACGCGGCTGCTCTGCCCCGCGCTTTGGGTTTACCGGCGAAGGTGAGCGCGTTGGGCCGCCTACAACCGAGGAGGTGCCACTGCGCTGCCCACTACGCGAATGTTGCTGTTGCAATGGGGCATGGGGCGGTCGTCTCTGTCGTGGGGTGCGACTCGCTGTCGCAAGACTCGTTTTTGTGGTGGTCGGCAATGGCAATGGTGGCGGTGACGGCAGTGAAGGTGCGGGTGGGAGCACAGCCGCGCCATACTGCGCAACAAACTTGGACTCCACATTATTCGTAGCATCACGTTGTTGTTGTTGTTTGTTGTTTTTGTTGATGGTGGTGACGGGCCATGGCCTCTGTGATAGTACTCATGGCGGGGCCAGGGGACACGGTGGAGCTCGACGGGTTACGCGCCTTCACCAAATATCGATTCTCCACAAAAGCAGCAGTCGTATCGGCGGGACCGTGCGGCAATTCGCGCTCTACCTTTGCCGAGTGGGATTTCGTCTTGGAATGCGGCGCGGCAGTGGCGGCGCTGTTGATATCCGTCGTGGCGAGTACGCGATCCGCTGCCGTTAGACTCGGCGTGCGGGGTGTCCGCTTCTTGCGATAGACGGCGGACAGGGACCTGCTCGCACCGTCCCGCTCCCGCTTCACCGGCACGCCGTGCTGAGAGACAAAAGCACTTTTTTCTTCTGCCTCCGCCTCTCTCTTGGCACCTTTCTCATTTCCCCACTGTCGCTGTTGCTGTTGTTTGTTGGAGCTGCCGGGCCGGGATTGAAGGCCTCTTCTATTGACGGGTGTGGCGACAGCGGACAACTGCCGTTCTGCGGCGGGGCTCTTTAGTGTCTGCTCATACTGCACTGCGGCTGCCATCAACCGCCGTGCATCCATCAACCGCCGCAGTGCCTCTTCGTGCGAGGACATCTTTGATTGAATCTCCAATTCATGCCTGTTCTCTATCTCGGCAAGCTCAAGCTTGTGCTTCGCCTCTGTTTCATCTAACTTCTGCTTTTGCCCCTCCACAGCACTCACTAGCTGCTCCACTCGTCGCATCAGACGTGTCGTCTCCCTCTCCAGCTGTCGCACGCGTTGGGAGGCGTCGGACGCCTCATGCGTTTTCTGCTCCAGCTCCTCTTCAAGCCGACGGCATTCCTTCACCAGCTTCTCATAGCGCTGAAGAGAGACACCCTCATACGCCGTTGCCTCAGAGACCCCAGAAGACAACTGGGAGTTGTTCGCCTCGACAAGGCGCGCGTGGCGTGCGGCGGACGCCGTCTGCGTTGAGGCAGAACGTGGAGCGGCACTCATACCCTGCCGTTTTTGTGTTGAGTGCACTGACGATGGAGCCGATGCAAGCGCTGGCGACGGTATTCCGCCGAGTGTTGTTGCTGCTGGCCTGGCCGCCATCGCCCCTCCTCCGGTGCCGTCCTGCTCGACATTTGACAGAACCGTCAACAAACTCTGCAGCTGGCCGACGAGTTGCGGGTTCGACGTCAGTTGCTGCAGCACCGACAGTACATTCGGCTCCATCCCGAATCCGAGCACCCGAGCGTGATGGCCTTCAGTGGCGATGGGGCACGAAAAACTCCCACCACCACAAAATTCTCTTTTTTTTTTCCTTCCTTTTGCTTCTCACGGGCAAATTTTTTCCTTCCCGCCTGCTCTTTTTTTTGTTGTTGTTGCGGGGTTTCCTCTAAATTTCTTCCTTTTTTCTCCCCCCCCCCCTTTTTTTTTTTTCCCTCACAATACACGCGCCTCCGCATTTGAGGGACAACACAGCGAGAAACAAAAGAAAAAACAAAAATAGAAGCGGGTGCAAAGAGCCGACAGCAACACGCATCCAACGCTGCGAGAAGGGCGTAAAGACCGCACACCCACGCATTGGAAAGAGAGGGACGTGATGAGAAGATAGACTGCAAAGGTACTCGGCCCCTTTCATTGCACCCCGTCCCTCGTGAGTTCTCTTGTACATTTTTTTTCTTTTTTTTTTGTTTTCATTGGTCGCTTCTCTTCTCTTCTCTTTCTTTTTCCTTCCCCCTCCCCACGCACCCACACACGGAGGGAATTGGGGCTGCAGTGCATTAAAAAAAGGTGGCTTACATCTTCATTATTTTTTTTTTCTTTTTTTTTTTTTCAGCCTTTCGTTTAAAAAACAACAACAACAAAAAAAAAAAAAAAAAACATAAAAATATGTGGTGATGAGGGCCATCGAGATCAGCGTTTCATTCCTGCCCATTCCCACCGCATTCCACCGCCCCCTTCCCCGCTGGCCTCCAGTCCGTTCCGTTCACCGAAGTAACACACTCATGAACAAAATTTTTTTTTTTTTTTTGGTTTTCTTTCTTTCTTTCTTTCTTTTATAAACATCATTCCTGGACTTATAAGCCATCTTAATAAAGTCGCATCATTTTTTTTTTTCTTTCATTTTCACCCTTTCACCCACACACGCCTATAAATACAAAGACAGTCTTTTTGTATAAATAAATAAATGAATGAATAAATATATGTATATTTCTATGTTCCGTTCATGTTGTTAATTTCTTTTATTTCGGCTTCGCAACAACTGGTACTCCCACTCCTCACGCCTCAGGACCTCCACGTGCGTGCAAGCTCTGCAGCAACACTTTCAAGGAATTCATGCGTCGTCTCGTAGTGTGAACGCTGCAGCTTCTCCTGCCCATAGATACATATTGCGAGGTCCTTCGTCATGCGCCCGGCCTCAATGGTGCGAATGACCGCTAACTCAAGGGCTGCGGCAAAGTTAGTGAGTGCCGGGTTGCCGTCCAATTTACCGCGGTGTGACAGGCCGCGTGTCCATGCAAAGATGGAGGCGACAGAGTTGGTGCTTGTCTCTTTTCCCTTCTGATATTCGCGATAGTGACGCGTGACGGTGCCGTGGGCGGCCTCTGCCTCAATCGTCTTGCCGTCTGGACGAAGCAGCACAGATGTCATGAGGCCAAGTGAGCCAAAACCCTGCGCCACGATATCGCTCTGTACATCACCGTCGTAGTTTTTGCATGCCCACACAAATCCTCCGTTTCCCTTTATCATCTGCGCCACCTGGTCGTCGATCAGGCGGTGAGTGTACGTCAGCTTAAGCTGTTCAAACTGATCCTTGTACTTGTTGTCGTAGAGACGCTGGAATGTCTCAAGGAAAAGTCCATCGTATTTCTTTAAAATGGTGTTCTTGGTGGAGAGCACAAGAGGAAATTTGCGTAGAAGGGCATACTCAAAGCAGCTCACCGCAAACGCTTCTATGCTCTCAAGGGTATTGTACATGGCAAGACCAACACCTTCGCCCTTAAATGTGTAAACGTCCAGCACCTGTGGACTGCCACCAGGCGGGGTGTGCACAAGCTCCAAGCGACCTGCGGGAAACACGGCATCCGTCGCTGCGTATTGATCACCAAAGGCATGACGGCCAACAATGATCGGCTCACGCCACTGTGGCACAACACGCGGAATATTTTTAATGATGATGGGCTCGCGAAAAACGGTGCCACCAACAATATTACGAATTGTCCCATTTGGGCTTTTCCACATCTTCTTAAGATTAAATTCCTTCACTCGGGCCTCGTCCGGGGTGATTGTGGCGCACTTAATACCAACATTGTGTCGCAAAATGGCCTCTGCCGCCTGTTCTGTGACCTTGTCGTTGGTGGCATCACGGTTGGTGATGCTAAGATCATAGTACTCAATAGGGACGTCCACGTACGGCAAAATAAGTTTCTCCTTGATGAGAGACCAAATGATGCGTGTCATCTCGTCACCGTCCATGTCAACAACTTTGCCACTGACTTTGATACGCTCCAATCGTGGGCGCGTCGTACTCATATAACACACCGCAGCTGCGGTAAAAGGGACACGGCAGGCTACACGACGAAACATAATTTACTTCTCCTTGTTGTTGTTGTTGTTGTTGTTGTTGTTTTCGCTCTGAAAAATGATGCGCAGTTGCAAATAAATACGTGTGGGGTGTTTGTCAACCTGCACGTGTAAATACGTCTTCTGTGATCAAACTGCAGTTCACACCGTATGCCGATCGAGCCAACAAATAGAAAGAGAGACAGGCACACACACACACAGAGAGAGAGAGAGAGAGAGAAAGGGAGAAAAAGGCAGCAAGATGCGATATTTACGCGTATAAAAAAAAACATATGCATTCCTCTTGGTGGGAATAAGACAGTGTGATGGAAGTTCATTGTGCACTTTCACTGCTTTTCTTAAGGAAAAAAAAAAAAAAAAAAGGGAAGGGGGGAAAAACAGGCACGCAGAGAAAAAAAAAGCCACGACAACTCTGCCTGTGCTGGTGCTTGCTGCATCAATGTAAGTAATAATATGCCGTTGTGCTTTTATATACTCACGTATGTACATGATGATGGGGAGAGGCAAAAAAAAAAAAAGAAAAAGAAAAAGAAAGAAAAAAAGAGGGGGAAACAGGAAACAGAATACGCACGTCTTAAATGTTTTCCATCGTTCACTCCTTTCAGCTCCGTTTCATCGTGTGGTATCAAAAAATGAAGTGTCGGTTCTCATATTTCGCCCCATAATCACCACCATCATCACACGCTTCCTCCTTTTTTTTTTTTTTTTTTTTTGAAGGCGGTGGCTTTTCTTCTGTACAACCCATTTGCGGCAACGGCGGGGCTCATTTTTTTTTTTGCTGCGGCGTATGATTCCCGCGGGGGGCGGGAGTGATGGCCCTACCGACGACGCCCATTCGCCAGTCTGACATCGACATCTGCAACTGTGCGTTGAGACGCCGTGCCGCGAGGGTTGCGGGGGATGAGAATAAATCCATGCGCGCCAGCATTCGTCGAACAAATGACGTCTGAATGCAATGAGTAGCGTTCCCGCCGTCCTTTTCGGTGTATGCGCAGGCCGGCAAGAATAAAACGGCGTCGCTTTCCTCCGGCGCCGCCCCGCGCAGCATAGGAAACAGCAGCTCCGACGGCACGCCGTACACCCAAGAAACGTACGACTCCAGTGCTCCATGTGGATGCTGCAAAGGGCCTCCCCTTTCTCCAGCGGTGCCAGATGACAACGGCGGCATGGACGCCGCCGCGACGGGGATTGCAAAGGTGGGATACGCCGCCGTCATGCGTGCGGTAATTCTGCTCGTTCCTTCATGGCGCGGGAAGGCAGGACGGTAAGCCATGATGCGGCCTGCAAGTTCCTCCGGAGTGAAAGTAGAGTGATCCACTTCCGTCGCCGCAATTCGCGAAGCGCCACGCGTGGCGGTGCGACGAACATTCTCAGGAGCGTGGGCGGCATCCCGCGGCGGTTCACGTGGTTGCAGCAAATTGGGGGCTCCGTGCATCGTCTGAAACTGGGCTTGCTGCCTGCGTGAAAGTCCTCGCAGTCCAACTGGCGGAAGGACGCTGAAAAAATTACTATCGCCCTTTAACGCATCGTCGGTGTTGCTACATTGCATTTTTAGAAGCCGTTTTGACACCTCAGTTTTCACGTCGCCATTAGGCTCCGCAAAAAGAACGTTTTTTTCCAATAACGAGCGGCGACGCAACACCGCGTGGTGCTTCCCTGGTGGGAGGCTGTGACCGTACAGTGAGGGTGAAAACACACGTTGCAGCGATGGGTGACAGAGGAGGAGGGCTTCTGTCTCTTCTGCGCCCATGACCCCGACAACGCTGTCATTACTATTACATTCACCGGTGACGTCTCCTGACATGTTACTCCGCTGGGATGCCTCCGCTCTGGCCCGCATAAGATTTTCTCTGCGCTGACGCAGCAATTCTGTTAGTTCCCTTCCACGTTTTTTTCGCGCCGTATCAACTTTCGCCAGTACCTTTTTTACCCATTCTGCCGCTGCGGGGTCCTCCTGCAGCGCCGGATCGAACTCATCATCAGCCCTTTCTAGAAGCTCAATCAACCATGGAGGAATATCGTCAACGGTTACATCCTGCCTGCTTAGCAAATTCGCCACATCCTCTGGTGAGACTGATTCCCTCAAGCTGTAAGTGTCTAGCCGGGTATCCGTGGTGTCACTCGAGCCGTTGAACGCCAGGGTGTTGAGTCGCATTTTGCGTGCCGACGGCATAAAAAAAGACCTCTCGGCACCATCAAGCAGCGCCGCGAGACGAGAGAGAAGTGCCGTGTCGATAGAGACTAAATAGTGAGTTTCCACTTCACCTCCAAGGCGACGTATCTCAGCCTCTATTTTCCCCACCAATTCGTCTGTCTCATCTTGCAAGACCTGCCGCAACGTCGCGTGTTCATTACCGACAAGCTGCAGGAAGCGCATAAGTGCCTGATGATGTTCCAAGTATAACTCATTGAGGAAATTCGAGCGAGCATCAGCGACATCGCCGTCGTGGGCACCGGCCACTGCTGCTGTTTGCAGGGCACTTCCGTGCTTCGCCCCATTTGACCCTTCCGCTTTTGGCTCCTTTTGATTCTGCCTTTCTTTGCCGTGGTTCCTGTGATTTTGACTCTCGATGCCTTGCAAAATGTTGCCGGTATTTTTCTGCAAGAATTTATTTTCGACAACACTTCCCACACCGCTGGTTTTTCCATTGCTGTCAACCATTGCGTTCCCCTCCACTGTCTTTGCGTCGTCATGGAGCGTTACTGCTTTCCCCGTGGCTTCTGTCACTGCTTGGCTAATATGGTTCTGTTCCCCACGATACAGTTCTTGTTCAATCGCAATTACACTTATTACCGCCTGCGCAAATGCCTCGGAATCCTCCCCTCGGTTAAGAATATCTTCAGAGATCTTAACAGCCTCCATGTGGGCATGCCGTAGCCTTTCAACAGAGTCGTCAGATTTTTCTTGTATTGCAATTTCCACCTCCTGCGGTGCTTTTTTCCCCCCGTTGGCCTTCATCTGACGCACGGCATACTCCCGCGCCACCACTCGTGCCTGTGCTCGAGCCTTTTCTCCTGCGTCCTGGTCGCCAGACGCATTCGTCGCGGCGATATCATTAAAAAGACCTTTAAGCTTCGTCAGGCTAACTTCTGTTTCCATTGATTCGTTGTTGTATTTCGTTTTCTTTAAGGGAACACGCCCCTGTTTTTGCGGATGGTTTGGCCTTGTTGGAGACGGCTTCAACTGTTCCTGCATCTCTGTCTTGCGTTGCTGCTTTTGAGCGGCTTGGGGAGGCGATCTTTTCCCTGTTTCCCCATACGGGTGTGTGGGCCGCGCGCCCCGCATCTGTTCTCTCTCCCCCAAATCCGCGCTGTGGAGCGCACTGGGGGCTCGTGTTGAAGCACACGATGGGACACTTTTGACCCACGTGGAGACGCGGGCAACAGCCGCCGGTGTTTCCTGCTTCTTGCGCTTCGCCTTGGCATTGCGACCGATACTTGCACCGCCGTGTGGCCTGCCACCATCACCATCACCATCGTCATCCAATTCCTTTTCCCCTCGCTTCTTTCCCCCCTTCTCACTCCTTAATTTTATCTCCTCATGATTCTTTTGCTGCAGTCTTTCCTCCAGCTCCGCTATTAGCTCCTTTTGCACTAGTATCGTCTCCATGGCATCGGCCAATCGTGTCGCCATCCGAACATTTTTATCCTCCAACCGCTCCATTTCACTTACTTGCAACTTCATTTCTCTGGTGCTCCGCTTTCGCTCCTGCAAGAGGGAGGCGATCTCACTGCGGAGGTTGGAGATGCCATCATCTGCCACGTCTGGAGAAAATATCCGCGAGTGAGTGAGGTTCAGGGTCCTTTCGCCTATGGTGCCCGTGCGCTCGAGTAAACTACTTTCCATTGTCCTCACGCCATAAGTCGTCGTAGCAGTGTTTGAAAAAACATCTTGTGCATCTCCTTCCGGTGACATCGTGCCGCGCCGGGGTGTCGTGATTGGGGAAACGCTTATGCGATTATCCTGCAGCCAATTGCTCCTCTTCCTGGTCCGGTTGTTGTTCTGCATTTCATACGCCATGAGTTTATCCGTCACGGACGCGAGCCGCTGTCTCAGAGTGATAACCTGCTGCTCCTTCGAGACGGAGATAAAGTTTTCGGGGCCGCTGTCGTTGCAGGAGTTGGAGTTGAGGGGGGATTGAGCACCAAAGTTGGTGTCGGAGGACTTCCTTTCCCCCAACTGGGCAACCTCGTTTTTGAGAAGAGCGACAGTACGCTCGCTGCACTCCAACTCCGTCACAAGCCGCAAAATCTCCTGCTTGTAGGCGGCCACAACGGCGCTCTCTACTTCTTCCTTCTCGTCCACGAGTGCGTCCTCGTAGATCTTCTCGGCATTCTCGTCGTTTTTATAACCGTTCTCAATTTCACCGCCATGGCTGCCGACGAGGAAGTCTCGCATGGAATTAGACCGGCGAAGCAGACGCTTTGTGGCGTGCTTCACACTCTTCGAGGGCGACATAACATTCGTTAGTATGTCCTTTACATTGAAGATGGAATGAAGTTGATGCATTCGCTGATTAGGTGCGCTGGCAACGGCGCCGCGTACGCCCATCGTCGAGAGCTGTGGAGGGAGTGACGCCAAAGTCGATGACAGAAGCGTTGAAGACATGTAAGAACTTTGAAAGTTTTTCAAGGGGCCCATGTCATCACTACCGTTGTTGCTACACTCGTCAACATCGGGAACTGACAGCACGCCGTTTCTTGGCGCCACGTCGTCCTGCTCAAGGAGAATGTGCCGCATGCCACGGTAGTTCCCAACGATGCCCTTGGAATGCATTTCCTTGCACCACCGACCTTTGGCCGACATGAACATCTCCGTAAATAATTTAACAACGGTGTGATCAAAGCAGCGGCGTAGCACCAAGTCATATCCAAGACTGTACGCCTCCGACACGGTGGTCGTGTGCTTCGGCAGGATAACCATACCAGGAGAGTGGTTTTCATAGTTGTCATGCAGCATCAGCACAATAACGAGACCCAAGCTGTTCTCGCGGTCAAAGTAACGCAGGTGGTCCACAATGTCAGAAAAGGGTTCATGAGTAAAGGTGTCCACAACAACAAGCTGCGCCACCATGTCATCTGGCGGTGGTTTCCGCACCGCGGCCTCGCTCTCAGCGCTGCACACAGAAGAAGGCGGACTCACAGGGCGAGCATTGTCCTCCGAATCCCTCACATGCTGCATGTGCTCCGCTCCCACTGCTGGGGCCCTAGAAGCAGCATCAGTCGCAGGGGCGGCTTTCCTCTTTTCATCCGCCGGAATTAAATCCGTTCTTTCCTCCGCGGCATGAGCGCAAACAAACGAGTCCTTCCTGCGAAACTTTTCTTTCTCCGAATCCCTTGTCGATGTCGTCGCTGCCACGCGTCGAACTGTGAACCCGCATTTCTGGGCGCGCATGACTTGATGCTGAATGCTGGCTGTCGCCTCGGTGAGTGTCTGCGCCTCCGTAACCTTCCAACGAAACATCGCAAGCTGCGAGGCCATCACTGCCATCGTAAGAACGTTGGCGGAGAGTACAATGGCATGCGCCGTGCTGCCCCGTCGGAATATCTTCCGCTGCATTTCCACCAGCGCGTCCATCTGCATGATGCGATCCTCACGGCTGTTGGCACCATACATGAGTGCCCCTGCCATATCGTCATCTCCCAGCAGCCGCTCGTACTCCAAGTCCCGCCTCAATTCGCGCAGCCGCTCTTCACCATCGGGTCGCTGCACGGAGGCACGCCTTTTCACAACTTCCGGGATCGACATGTTCCGGATGAAAAACCGTTCTTGTGTACGTTTATCTCTTCCTTCCTGTTCTCTCTCTCTCTCTCTCTCTCTCTCTCTCTCTCTCTCTCTCTCTCTCTCTCTCCGATCCAACGGGAAGAAGAAAGAAAGAAAGCAACCAACCAACCTTACAAAAAAAAAACAAAAAACAAACAAACAAACAAAACGAAGGAGAAGACAAGAAAAAGAAAAAGTAAAAAAAGGAGGTGGGGATGCATATATATATATATATATATATATACCACACAGATGTGCATGCAGACCCTCCGTCCACCACAAAAAGGGTATAGAAAGAGACGCAGATGCTTGCATGATTCCTGCGTTTAGTTAATGTTTTACTCCTCCGGGCATTGAAAGAGGCGTTTTTATGCCTCCACACAGAGCGAGAGAGAGAGAGAAAGAGAGAAAGAAAGGAGCCGGGGAGAAATAGAGCGCAACGCTGACGGCATGGATCCCCCCAATACTCGCTGAAAAACAACAACAACAACAACAACGGGCGAGCAAAGAACCAGAAAAGAAAAAAAAAAAATTAAAAAATAATGAAAGCTAAAGTCGTTCTTGTTTCACAGCATCATCACAATCACCGCCAATAATTATTCCCTTTTTCTTTTTTTTCTCTCCTCGCGTAGATGCCCTTTCTTTTTTTAGTTATTCCCCTTTTTTGGCGTGTTTGCATTTTTACTGCTGCTGACACGCCGGGGGTGTTTCCACCGTGCCGCCACGGCCCACGGCTGCTCCTGCCGGGGACGCTGCGGTGACGGAGACTTGTGGCTCCGCGTCCAGCCACGCCACCGGCGGCCCGGGCGAGTTGTCGTCCTTCACAAATGCGAAGCAAACGCCACGTGAATTGCCAGACAACGTCCCCTCCGCGCTTTTTGAACCACCGCCGGCGAGAACCACGATAAGGCTGTTATGAGGTGCCGCACGAATAATTTGCATGACGCGCCGATTCGTCTCGTCCACACGCTCCAGTTGCAGTTGTTCCCACGACCGCCCCTCCTCCTCCTCCTCCTTCTCGTTCTCTTCGACATCCTGCCGCCGAGGCTCAACCGTCTCGGTGAGTTGCACCCAAGTCAGTGCGTAGGAACATGGCACGCCGTCCTCTGTGTGCTGTTTCTCACACCGACGTTGCTGTAGGCACCGCACGGCCTTCCGCATCGCATCCCTGTCGTGACGCACAGGTACGGCGTGCAAAAGACTGCCATTCTTTGCATCGGCACCACTGGGAATGATGTCACGCAGGACGCACGCGTCGTCAAACAGGTTCAGTTCCATGCAAAGCGACGACGATGATGAGTCTGTTGGCGGTGTTGCTGGATGTTCGGAAGGAGTTTTATCCCGTTTCCCCAGTTCCCCGGTGTTACCTCCCCCTGCCATCGCTGAGTTCTCTATAAGCTGCAGAATACTCACTCGCTTCCGAATCCCAAATTCCGGGCCGTGTTTTAGCTTCAAATACGCAAGCTCCGCGCTGGTGCTAGCGTCCTCCGCACTGTCGTGGGATCCTTGCTGGATCTTCTTCTGCAGATAATGCATCGCCAAGAATCGCAGTGAATTTTTATAAGGCAACCCCGCAGGATGAGGAAACAAGTGCGCCGTGTCCAGTACATAACAGTTGGGCAGCATCTTGCATGCCCTGAAGTCGTTTTCCAGGCTGTGTCCTACAACAAACGTCTCTGTGTCAATATGCCGCTGCAGTTCTCGCTGGCAGTCCTGCAGAGTTGTCGTCACACCTTCCAACATCGCCTCATCGACACCGCTGTAGCGTGTGATATAATCCACCACCTTCGTCGCCGGCTTCACCAGCGTGTCCAGCACCACGGCACCGGCTCGCACATCCAGCAGTGTGATACGAGCCAGAGCACTCACGTTGTCTGCGACGAGTACCATCTCGCAGTCCATCGCAAATACACGCACGGGCTGCACTCCGTCGCCCTCTCCCGTTGACGGCTGTGAGGCATCAAACGTCTTCCATTCAACTGCCTCTGCACAGTCGGATGGCAGATCGAGAACATACCCCAGGCCCCCCAACACCGCCCTGTCCTTCTCAATGGACAAGGCGTACCGCAGCAGCGTCGCCCGGTCGTCCCAAAGCGAGGGGTCGGCATCATCGGGCCGCCGCACCTCAGCCACGTTGGACGGGACGGAAGAAGCCGCCGCCGCCGCCGGTGACAACGAGGTCTCGTCGTTCGTCGTCGCCTTGCCGTGAATCACCAACGCGCGCTTAAAAAAAATTCCCACACCACTTGATGCTGCTGCTGCTGCTGCTGCTTCTGAGGTGGCGGAGGGTAGTTTGCCGACAACCGCCACACCACGATTATCCGATTTTTCACATTTTTGCTCGGCATTTGTTTTATTCAAGGAGGGGCAACCGCGGCGTTGGCCGTCGCGAGGTGCTTTCGGTGCATCGTTTCGCCAGAATATCTCACGCACCAGTGAACTCCTTGCGCCTGGAAGAAGCATGGGCGCAAATTGCACGCCACACTCCTTTCGTGCCCAACACTGCTGCGCGCGTACTGGGGCCAGCATGGCACGACCAATGCGCTCCGCCCAACTATTTCCATTATGGGCCTTCATTTCAGCTGCTTCGTGACGCAACGGCTGTCCCCTCGGCGAGTGCTTCGCCTCCTCCTCATGGATGCCATCATCTTCGGCGGGATTGCTGGCATAGGCAAGTATCATTTCATCATGTGTCCACCCATTCACACAAATCATCACCACATCCCGCAGCCTCGATTTGTTCTTGAGGAAAAATACCCGCGGACCCTCAATCAACGGCACCGCAGCCGGCACGGACCACAGCAACAAGTCCCCAACGTCGCGCGGAAAGAGAAAATCGCCTTGATTTCTTTGACCTACAAGCTGAAAATAAATCTCCACAGCCAAGAATTGCTCCGCAACAGCGGCAGTGATCATGGAGCCATTACTATTAGCACTAGAAGCACCAAAATGTGCATTACTAGTATTATTAACATCAATATTTTTTTCATCACGAGACTTACTGTCATCGGTGCCTTGGTGGGCGCTACCATGAGCGCACAGCTTGCTGGTGGGGGGCGGCAGAACCAGCTCTTCCTCCCCGTGCGGCATGACGCTCGCGGATGTGCTGGCAATACGGTGGCCACGTGCCTCCAGCGCATGCGTCAGCAGCGGAGAGGAGGTGGCGGACGGCGTGCGCTGACGCTTCGAACGCGCCGTGGGCATGTCTCCTTCCGTCTATAAAGTCTACCCACGGCGTGTGTATGTGTGTGCGTATAGGAGCCTTTGTGTCCTCTCAGCGCTGCCGGGGGTTTAAAATAGAACCAATCCTCCACCAAAAAAACAATAAAAATAAAAATAAAAAAAGACTACACTTCCCGGTCACGCTCGTGTGAGAATCACTTCTGTGCGCCGCGGTGATGCCAACTGAGGAGAGACTCCTCCCAATAAAAGGATTCATCCATGTGGAAAGAAAAAAGAAAAAAAAGAAAATAAAATAAATACATCATGCCCGTAATGAGACGACAGCTGACATATTGGAGGACAGGGAATTGGATTACGGACGGCAATCAAAAAAAGGCAAAACAAAACACGCACACACACAAAAAAAAAAAAAAAAGAAAAACAAACAAACAATGAAAGCGCAAACAAATAACGATAAGAAAACCACAGCCAAAAATAAATAAATAAATAAAAACACATACGCACACATATATGTATATATACACGGGGCCGAGCCGCTTACAATTCTCCTGCCCCCCCGTTGTCCTTCACTTCGGGAACAGACGGCGTAACGGAAACAACGGCCATCGCGGGCGTACGTGGGTGTTCACCCCAACAAATGGACGCACATGTAGAAACACACCGCGCATGGGCACATGCATGCAGTTATCTTCATTCCTCCTCTACCGCTCCCCTCAAAAAGAAATAATAATAAAAACACGGTGCAAAATAAACAAAATACAAAATTTGTAATTTTTTTCAAAACACACACACACTCCTCTCCTCCTTCCTCCCGGCTGGCTTGCAGCTTCACTTGGCTCACGCGTCGCTTCCGTCACCGCCGTCTCTTTTATATTGCGGATTGAGTGGATTCGTCAACTCACATGCATTCGAAGGTCCCCCAACGGTGTTATTTTGTTGTGGGATCTCTCTCTTTCGATGCTTTTCGTACTGTTGCTGTGATGCTGCGAAGTCCCTGCCGTCGGGCACCAAATTTGACTTCTTCGCATGCATCTTGATCTCCTGCTGCCCCTTCTTTTTACCGCGAGTGGGCATTATGCCGCCATTCCTGTTGTCGTTGTTGCTGGTATACTCTCTACGCCTCGCGTCCGCCGCTGCAGCCGTCGCGCCCGGGGGACGCACAGAAACGTACGTCGCGTTAAACGCTGTGTTGAAGATGCGGTGGCTCTCCACTAATGGCAGCAGCACCGCGACGATGAGGGCGCACAGGGGCCAGACGAGAGTAGAAAAGGAGACGTACCAGGAGCTTTTGACACGCCAGAAAAAGGCCATGCTGCTGTCGGTGTAGCGCTGCGGCAACGCCGGGCCCGTCGTGTCATCAAAGGCTGCCGTCATTGTGTACATCGCCCCGGTAAAACAGTTCTGGAAGACGTAGCCGGTGGTGGTGCCATGCTTGACATCGGCAAGGAGCTGCCGTGCCATCCAACCGGGCATCGCCACCACTGCCATCACCGTGCACGAAGTCTCGAGGGTTGGGCCGGGACTTGAAATGACGGCGGCCTTCGCACGCACAAATCTCAGCGTCCCGTCGCCCGGGTTTCGTTGAAGGCCCAAACTCAGCCCGGATATGATGTCTGCAGCAAAGAGCGACAAGTTCGCACTCACGTTGTTGTTGTTGCCGTCAAAAGAAGGCCTACTGCTTTGGCTAAGCCATATCTGCATGTCCGCAATGTCCATTGGGGTGTAGAGGCAATGGGGAGGGAGGTAGTCGCCAAAGCAGCTACACACACATTGCGGTGTTTCTTGAGTCACCAAACCGTGGTTACAGTTACAGTCGAGATAGCCCGCCTGTACAAATACGGTGAATTGAATCAGTGCAAGTAAAGCCAACGCCGGTAGTGAAGGTGAACCAAGAAAAACGACATGCTGTTGGGAGTACATCAAATCTGTTGTCAATTTCTTTTTCCTCACCAAAGAGAGACATGCATTACAACGGCATGTGTATACGTTAGGCATGCGTACATTGTAAAGAGAGAGAGAGAGAGAGAGAGAGAGAGCGAAGGGGAAAAGAGTAATAATAATAATAATAATAATAAAGAGATTATGTCCAGTCAATACATCCTTTTGAAGGATTATCTTGAAGGAAATTTTTGCTCCTTCTTTCCCCCTCCCCACACACACAAACATCTTCTTCTTGAATTGTTGGGTCCTCCATATAAAGCAGCAGTCACGCAAAAAAAAAATATATATGCGTGTTTGTCTGTGTGCATGTATGTAAGCCGCCATCCTCGTTCCCCGTTCATCTCTCTTCCCTACACCGTAGAGTCCTCACCTGTCACGCAGTATGCAAAAATGTTGAGGACACCCAAAGAAATCATGTACACACCGACGATCCATCCGGCAATGTGTGTTCCAAGCAGTAGCCCTCCAATGAAAACGTAAAGAAAGGCACGTCCAATGTTCGATAGGAGGAAACGTGTAAACCGCATCAAGTGACGGTGCTGCATCATGCCAATCTCCGCGGCCGGCGATATCACTGAAAAGAAGATGATGTACACGTATGCAATGAACATGCGCACTTCATTTATTTCATGTGGACGAAACCACATCAATAAAAAAAGCGCCAAACTTCCACTACCAAAAGCCCCCGCCACCCCCAAGAATTTAAGCAAAAAAACAAAATTTTTCGCCGTCACAATCTCCCGAAACGTCGGCATTGATGCGCACGCGTGACTGAAATTCCCGTGGGGCAAATGATAAAACTAAAACTAAAGTGGGGAAAAAAAAAAAAAAAAATAAATAAATAAAAGAAACCCAGAGGCCACTGCTACTACTACTACTACCAATACTACTCCCATCCTCATCATAATTATCACTGTTATTATTATCGTCCATATCTTTTGGTCGTCGGTAATTTGTTTCTTCCCCTCCCCCCTCTCCCCTCAAAACAAAAAAAAAAAAAAACCCACCACGTGCAGAAAACTACTGTACAAATACATGCATGCATGCATGAATAACTAAATAAATATTACATTTACTATGAAGGCCAGAGAAGCATCTGTGCATGTGAGGTGCCGCAGATATCATGACTTCTTCTCCTTCTTCCCGCTACTGTTTTCATCAAGAAGCGATTCCCATTTGATTGCACGGCTTTCCGTAACTTCTGCCAATGGCTTCCGCCGTTCCTCCTCGCGTTGCTTCAACTTTTCTGCCACAACACCTCCCATCAACTCCTCCATTCGTGTCTGTTTGACCGCAACGCTCAGCAGCTGCTCCTGCTGCCGCTTGCTTTTTCTAAACATGTTGTACTGGTCATTCAGAAAGGCTGCCAGGCGGGCCTCGCGCTTGCTGATTCCGCGAAACGACGGGGAGTAGAGGTACACCGTGATGTGCGTTCCATCCCACGTGACGTGCGGGTACTTGTCGCTGCCGTAGCAGAAGGCCCAGACGCGGCCCATGAAAAGATACGCGTCGTGAAACGTGGGGAACACAAATTCCCGTTTTATTGCCTCCTCCCCGGTGAAAACAGTCATCGGCGTCGGTCCCTTCTCCTCCTCCGCCGCCTCGCTGCTCCCCTCCACAGCGGGGGAGGCCGTCACCGCCTCGTCCGCCGGCACCCACCCCTTCACGCTCCTCAAAAAGTCTGCCACCTCATCTTCTCGCATGCGTCGCTCATGACGGGCGTACGACCCGCCATGCTGCGGGTTGGAGTTATGGAAAACGTTAAAGCCGTAGTCCCCTTTCCAGCGAGAAGGCGTCACAAACGTGGCAGAAAAGGGGCCGTTAAAGACACCGCAGAATAAAACGCTCGTGGAAACGCGACGTGACCAAACAATCATGCGTGCAACCGCCGCGCTGAGGCGTGTTGGAAGCCACACGCGGCACCTAAAATAATAATAATAAATAAATAAACAAAAATGAAGCCACACGCGCACAGCCACAGAGAAGTGTTTGCGTGTGCGTAAAACTGGCCTTATCATCAAATAAGAGAAAAGGGACGCGTGTATTTGTGTGTGTGTGCAGTGTTTTCGTGTTAATCAAAAAAGCAGGCGGCAATCAAAAAAAAAAAGGGAACAAATCGCTGCG